AGTACTTTACTTTTTCTATTAAAAATCCTTTTATTGCTACTGTTTAGGTGGTAAGTGCACAGTTGGAATTGGCACAGGGTGCCCAAAGCAACTGTGGCTGTCCCATTCCTGGAAGGGTCCAAGGCCAGGCTGGATGGGGCTTGGAGCAGCCTGGGATAGTGGAAGGTGTCCCTGCCCATGGCAGGGGAGTGGAATGAGATGAGCCTTGAGGTCCTTTCAAACCCAAACCATTTGATGGTTCCATGATTCTATGAACTACAGAGCAGATTTTATCTGCAATGCCACAGAGGCTGGAGTAGCTCAGGATTTTCAATTCTTCCCCCTGCTGAGGTGCAAGGCTTCTACGATTTCATCAACTTCCAGAGCATTGCTCCACTTGGAACAGATTTTGTATTTTTAAATCAGAAAGCCAGAATAGTAAGAGATCACATTTTGCACATTAGTTTGAAGCAGGGCACATTAGTATGTTGAACACTCATGTCTGGAGCTACAGTTTCTATAGTTACTTGTGCATCAGTGTTTCACTGAACTACTGCAATATTCATTTTACAGCAGCTCTGCTTCCCCCTTACTAGAAAGAGAGGTTTTGTAAGAGAATTTGTGGTGGGTTCATCCCTTTCTACACATTTACAGGAGATTTCTCAGGACTCTCTTAACTGACAGAGTGTTACTTGATAATGAAGCAGGCGAGATGTAACACCACAGAAAATTCAAATTTAATGTGAGAGTCGTTCTTCTGTGCATCTCTAAGAAATTGGATGGCAGGTCCCTGGCTGGAGAAGACATAGAGCACCTCATTAGAAGGAGCAGAATGGTCTCATTTTCCTCTTCTAAAATTGCTGCTTGCAGGTCAATATGAAAACTTGAGGGAGGACAAGAAAATTCTGGCATTCATTCTGATCTGGAGGAAGTTATCTGGCCACAGAAAATGCCAGCACATTATGCTTCCTCAAATCCCCTGCAACTGTGATGGAAACCCAGCTCTGCTCCCACTACAGAGCCACAGCCACCCCTCACACCTCCTGGCACCCTCACATTTGCTGAGTTTAGGCTGCCCTGGCTGGTAAAACACACATATCTCCCTTAACCTACCACTCTTCTTCTTCTGTTTGATTTTAAAGCAAGTTAGATATATTATTAATGATGAGACTGGCCTAGAGACCAATGGGCTCAGCATGGAGTTGCACCTGGGCCAGAGCACCTGGGATTATTCCTGTGCTCCAAACCAAGCATCCTTTTAACTCCAGGAGAATACAGGCAGGCTTGTCCCAGAGTGAGACGAAAGGATCAGGCTAATAGCAGCCCAAATTGTAACATCTGAAGAAAGAAAGTAAAAATATAAAAACTGCCCTTTGAATGACAGATCAGAGCCCTCCATCCTTGCTTGGGAAGGGAACACTTCAAATAAGAATTTACCAGCTTTTGCAGAAATCATAAAGCTGCTCTGTTTGAACACTTACCTGTTGCACAGCTTTCTGCTTACAAATTGTGTACTTTCCCCAGTATAATGTATCACTAGACACCAAAATTTTAATTTTGGACCTTATTTGGATGTCATAAAACGTTATTTGTGGTTTTGCTGTTGCAAAGGTGCAATCCAGTGCAGTGATTTGATTTCTCTCCTTCCCCTAAAGCAGCAGGAGGCCGCTGTCAGCAGCACATGGAGGTGCTGGCCATGGCACCGTGCTCCATTGCCATCTAGTGGCACCTTCCCCAGTCGAGTGGCACCTTCCCAGTCCCAGCTGGGCCTGCACAAAACCCTGACCCACACAACCCTGACCCTTGGAAAAAGAGGGGGGTTCTTCCTCTTCACATCACATCACGCCAGTCACGTTCTGTTTGGATGGCGCGTGTTTCCCTTCCTGCGTTACATGAAGCCGAGTATAAAAAGTGAATTGTCGATGTTTGCTGCCAGTCCTGTCTCTGGCACCAAGGCAGAGGGCTGCAGGGATGGGGCAGGGGAAGCCAAGGGCTGCAGCTGCTGGGACAGGGAGGAATCGAGGCTCTTCTGCACCCCCAGGCACAGGAGAGACCGCGGCAGCAGGAGGAGGGTGGGAAGCTCTGCAGAACCATCTGTGTGTCGCTCAAAGCTTTTATTTACTGGCATTTTAAAACCTCCAGGAAGCTTCCAAACAAACTCCTCAGCAGAGAGAAACAGCTCATGGACTGCCTGGGATGTTGCCCACAATAAACACCATCCAGTTCCTCCTGACTGCCCTCCCTCTGTGCGCTCCTCTGTTTCACTCCCCGCAGTTCCCAGCAGCGTGAATCTCCCTGAGCAAACCACAGGCGACAAAAACTCTGCCCTTCTTTACCCAGAGCAGGACTGGCAGACACTCCAGGGCTTTAGCAGGGTTGGTCTGTGAATGAAGAAGGGAAATTATTCTTCTTCCCCAGCCACCACAAAGCTCTTTTTGCCCTCCAAAGCAACAACCTCTGTCTCAGGAGGAGAGGATAAATCAGCAGGAGCCACCAACCCACAGGGTCTCGATGTCACCTGATGCCTGAAGCTCCTGTAGCCATGAGGGGCTTTATTAATGCCACAAATTAAACACAAACCTGACTTCCAACCTTCCTCCTTGGAGATCCCACAATGACCTTGCAGCAAATGGCACCATGGATACACCCCTGGCAAGAACTGCAGCTGGGAAAGGGTGACAACCGAGGAAAAACACACACACAAGGACCTGTGAAAGAGTGCTTATATTTCTATGCTTTTATAGCAATAAAATACTTCATATCAGACTGGGAAACGTACTTCCAAGTATTTTAAGTTACCTGTACACCTAAACAGCCTGTTTATGGAACAGGAATGCCATGTTGCTGCTTACTAAAATCCTTGAGTTACCAGTCCCACAGCAACGTAATAAGTAAATGCCCAGAATCCCATGAGCTTTTATTTATCTCTGGAAACGACACACTCAGATAAAGCTCATTTTATAAACACTAAAATTGCATTGCAATATCCATATATATATATGTATATACACATATACATATATATATAAACTTCTAACTTTCATAAATACATCATACATAAAATATGCTCCCAAAATACATTCATGCATTTCCCCATCTAAGATCCCTGCTTGTACCCGAAGTGTCTAAGCTGGGAGGGGCAAGGCCTGGACACAGGTTTGTGTTTGCAGGTGGATCCAAACCCAGCTGAAGGTGTTGGGGTTAAATCCTGAATCAGTGGGTCTAATCCTGCCTCCCTAGAAAAACAGGGCTCTCCTGCACACTGTGCCCCATCAAAGCTGCACCAGCTGCCCATCCACAAGCAGCCAAAAGCCACCATCCATCTCACCCTTATCACTTTTAGGTTTTCCAGCAGTTACTAGAGAGTGAAACAGAATCATGGAATGGGTTGGGTTAGGAGGGACATTAAAGATCATTTTGTTTCAATCCCCTGCTGTTGGCAGAGATATCTTCAGCTGGACAGTTTTGCTCCAAACCTCACCCAGCCTGGCACTGAGCACTTCCAGGGATGGGGCAGGGGATGCACAGTCTGTCCCAGCACTCGACAGGGGATGGGAAACAAGGGCCTTGGAAGCAGGAAGGTCACCACGTGGCTTTGGTGGAAGGGGATCTGTGAATGGAAGAAGCTGCTTTCCTCCATGACCTGAATATCCACCACACTCCCAGCAGCACCATGCCCATCTGCAACAGGAACACTCTGAGAGTCACTCCCTTCCTAATGAAGAAGCAAATGCCCATCCTGTGTCCATTTGTGAAAGCATAAATACACAAAATATACAAAAACATCTACAAAGTAATTCTGAGTGGGAGCTGGCACCAAGGCAGTGCCAGTTCTGCAGCTCAGGGATGAAGGTCCCGTGCCCTGTGCCCGCAGTGCAGGGTGCCAGGGGCTGGCCACAGCCTCCCATGGGATGCACCTGCAGCACGTGGCTGTGCAAACTCTGCCACACCAAGCACTAACCTGGCCTGATCTGCACTCTGAGGGAAGCCAGAATCACACGTGCCCCCATTCCAGTTCTGCCCCCCTGATCAATACTGCAAGAGCACATTCAAAGGTCCTTTTGGGAGCGCTGCCCTCTCTCCTTGCAAGCATGGCATTTACAAGCCAGCATCCCCCTTCCACAAGGCAGAGCCATCCCTCAGGCTACTGCTCTAGAGACAAACTAAATTCACTCCAACCTTTCCATTTACCCAAACCCACTGTCTTTACAGAACAACCCAAGAGAAACATTGCATAGATCTGTATCTCACATCTTCCCACGCCCAGCAAACAGCAAGAAGTTCAGGTTTTGCACAGTGCATTACAAAAGGCATCACTTTTAAACAACACAAATAAAGAAAATGAAGTGTCAGCACCGTGTAAACCCTGCAATGAGTGAGGCAGTGAGTGTACAGTGCTAGGCAGCTCTGGGGATGGCTGCTCGTAGTGTACTGATGCATTTGCTAATCAAATCTCCTCTCCCAGCAATAGGAACTTGCATAACGAGAGAAGCTGCTCCTGAACAGAGTGATCCTGTGTGTCACAGGAAGGAGGAGGACACTGCCAGGGCTGTGTGCTTTGCATGCAGCAGTTCAAGGGCCAGCTGACCCCTTTGCAGTGCAGACTGCAGGACAGCAGTGCTCCTCCCAGGCTTGGCAAGTCCCAACAGGAGTTTTGCTACAGTTGGCTTTACAATTGAGATATTCAATACAGTTAGCCCAGATCCTCTGGTGTTTTAAACCCCACATGCTCCATTGGAGTTACCAGTGATTACTTCCACGAGTGGAGAACATGGTCCTGGCTTGTCACAGACACAGAATAAATCTACAATAGCCCTTTCTTTAAATAAAATTAAATAACTGCACGTGGCACCGGCGCACAACTTTAAATGTGCTTCTGCCGTTAAGAAAATAGCAAAGCACACCAGTGGTTAATTAAATTATTTATCTCCAACTAAAAAAAGAATAAAAATTTAAAATATTACTGTTGATTTAAAAACCCCTTGGGAGACTGCATAATGTCTTCTCGTGGTATTTCTGAGGCTGAGGAAGTCGCTTGCATGTGGACAGCACTATAAATCCTCTTCAGCTGGCAGTGAAGGCTTGTGCTCCTGGAGGTCACTGGTGCCATTTTCGGATGCATCCGAGCTGCCTGGGGCTGACTCCGGGGGTGGGGGCTTGTAGAGGAAACAGGCCACTATAAAGAAGGTTGTCCCAAGGACCTGCAGCCATGGAGACACCCCATTACTGTCTGCTCTCCCCCAAATCCAGGTGCCCACCCCACATCTCTGCTGACCAAGCTTTGGGGAGGAGATGTTGGCCAGCCTGGGAAGCAGAGCAGTACACAGAGGGGGTAAAAATCTGAATTTAGCCAGCCCCATAGCAATGGGAATTTGGAAAAGTTCAGCCCCACACAGACACCTGGAGCACAGCGCTGCATGAGCCAACACTGCCTCAGCCTTTTGCTGGAAGGCTTTTGAAAACCTCTTTATCACAGCAGCTGCTAAACACTACTATCTAGGGCAAGTGCTTATTTGGGAGCAGTTAAAATGCTGGTTTTCTGCTAATAAATAAAACCCACAGCTCTAAGCTCTCTTATTTTCTAGCAGTGACTGGGGAATGGTTATTTACAGCCTGTCCACAATGCCATCCCTCACTCTCACTAATACACTGCACTTAGATATTTTACTCCATTTCTAGCAAAAATCACTTTGGTTGCTGTTGGAAGGAGGTATTTCATATGGTGCAACAGAAGCTGTAAGCCTAGAAAATAATGGGAATTTAACAGAATGATAGTGTCTGGAGCACCATTACCTGATGAGAAGCAAACAGGGCTTTTGCCTTCCCTGAGACATTTCTTGTGTGAAAATTTAATTTCGTCTGGGGGTGGGACAGATCAGGGCAATGCAATTTTGTAAAATTCTTTCCCAGAGCAAAATGTTGTCCCCTAAAGACCTGATTGCTTTATCAGGGAGTGGAGTGAAGCAGCAGCATCACCTTGTAGACCAGTCCAGCGACGAGGGTGTATCGGCTCATGGCTGAGTTCTGGTAAATGTAGCAGGAGCCCTGCTCGCCACACTGGTCCTGCCAGAGCAGGCAGGATTTATCAACCATGGATCCAAAGGCAATGGGGCCAGGGATGCCTCCTGTGGGCAGAGAGAGGGCACCTTCAGTTTGGGCAGCACCTACACACCAGCCCTTGCAGAAAAGCACCAGGTTCTGCTGATACCATGATTAAGAGAACTCATCCTGCAGCATCCAGAGCCACCAGGTATCAAAAAATGTGCTGAATTTCAAGATCTGAGAGTCCAGCAGGTCTTTTGGCCATCCTGACCTACATGCTGCACAAGAGCCAAAAGACACTCACAGGAGCTTCAACACCTCTGTTGACTCTGTTAACTCCTCTTTTTTCCTTAAAATAAGGGCACACTGGCAGGACATTGAACCTCTGTCACCTGTGATGTTTTACAGAACCCTCCATTCAGTTTGCAAATCTGCAAAGGGAATTGGTTGTCCTGGATGACAGCAAATATAAGAAAGCATCTTCCTTTTCAGCAGTGTGTGTCCTATCCCCTTCTTTTCCAACCCAGTGTGTTTTATTCTTGGGTGACAGCTTGGCACATACCTCCCAGAACCACCAGACCATTCTGGAGTGCAAATCCCCTCTGCTCCATACCTAGTGTTCGTACCACAATCCACTGGATCCCGAGTGCAAAGGACCTTTGTCTGTCAGAGACACACCTGGGGAAAAAAGGGGTTTGTTTAAAAATGCTTCACAACTCCAGGTCCTTGAGTCCAGCATGCCTGGGACCTCCATTCCCTCTGGAGATTTAGGATCACCCCAGTGCAATTCCCTCCACCCCTGTTGTAAATGTGTGTACCCCTTGTCACAGGACAAAGCTTCTAACGCTGGAATTTCCTTTCCCAGCAAGACTGGGACAGGAATTAGTCCTGATGTCTCCAGGCTGCCACTAACTCAGTGGTTCCCATCACACCTTTCCCATGCCTGATCCAACAGGAAAAAGCACAGAGAGGAGGATATTGAGGCTTGCAGTGCTGGCAGAGGATGAGGCCATCCCATGCTTACCTCAGGGTGGCAGTCAGGGCAGGAATGCTGCTCAGGAAGGTGAAGAGGATGACCACAAACATGAAGCAAAGGAGCAAGGGCTTTTTTGCACAGGAGGAGGTGCATTTCCCTGCCTCAGCTTTGCCAGAGCCAGGCAGGAGGGCTTTGTCAACACAGCTACACTCGTGGTAGACCTGGGAAAGAAAGGCTGATGGGGGCTCTGCTGAGGAGAGCATGGTGACATCAAAGCTTTAAAAATAAGAAATTCAGGGAGGGCAGAAAGCAGCAGGTTGGACTCCCAGAACGAAGTGGAAATCAAGCTGCATTTTTGACACACCTCTGTTTACAAACAGGTCAATCAAGGAAGGGAAATTAACTCTGCCAGGCAGCTGAGTATCACCTCTACCCTTCCTAAGCCTTTGCCTGACTCCATGAGCAACATGCTGGAAGGATGAGGAGATGCATCATGTTCGTTCAAAACCCAAAATGAGCACCAGGACAGAAATCAGGTGCTTACCAAGCTCCCTGCCTTCCTGGGTGATTTCTCCATGGATTTCAGCAGTTTGTCCCAGAATGAGGCAAAGAGGATTGGACACAACGAGAGAAGCAAAGCAGGGTGACCTCACAGCACCTTCTGCCTTCATCTCACGTGGTACCTGGGAGCATCCACCCAGCCCTGGCTGATTTTACACTGATTTGCAGCAAAGCTCAAACCTTTTGCAGAGCTAGCCAAATCACTCCAGAGATGTTCATCCACAGTGCTTTCAGACCTACCTTCTTGCCATTCCTGAGGTTTTCAGCCACCCTTTTGCAGCCAGCATGGCAGGGAGAGTAGTACATGATGTGGTCAGTGCCACAGACAGGGCTGTAGGTCTCCTGCAAGCAGCCACACTGGGCATTGCAGGCTGCTGTCAGGTTGAGGTGCCCTCCTGGCAAAGCACTGAGGGAAACACAGGAGCAGTCAGTGAGCAGCACTTTACAGGAGGAAATGGGGAGAGGAGGGGACAGTGGGAGTTGTGATGGATCCCCAGGGAGCATAAAGCCAGGCTTGGGAAGGCTTTCATCCCACCAAATTGTAACCATGCCCTGGAGCTGTCTCTCCCACAGCCACCAAGAGACTTTAAGTGACCAGCTCTTAGGGTGACACTTCCATTCAAAGAGGACATTCCCACTTTTGGTCCAGTTTATGCTACTGGATGGAGATGGGGGCTGCTGCAAAGGCAGCTGTAGAGTGGAGCATCTCCCGTCCTGGTGCTGCTGATCTTCCCTCTCTTACTAACTAGAGAGTCTCTTCCATAAACTCCATCTCACTGCAAAACTTAGGACATTTTCTGTGTCTCAGCCTCGCTATCTGCCTGTAGGACTGATCAGACACCAACTTTCACCCCCAACACACCCACACATGACTGGCACCAGCACTGTGTGCTTGAGCTATCCTCCTATTCTGACCAGAGCCCCTCAGGACAGACAGACGGGGTGGTTGTTGTCACCTTCCATCGTACATCTGGGTTACTCCTGCCATGGGCATGTTAGGGCAGTGGATAAAAAATATGAATATGGCCAGCAGACTCGACACTGTGCAAAGCAAACACAACTTGATGATTCCTGAACAGCGCAGTTTAAATTTATTCACGAGGAATCCTCCCAGGAATGTGCCTCCCCCTCCGGCTGGTACAACCAGATAACCTGAAAAACAAGAGGAAAAAACCCACAAGTGAGTTTAGTAATGTCAGCAAGGAGTTTTCAGGTTTGAGTACATTAATTGCAATGTATTTTGCATATAAATGACCCCTTGTTTTCTGTGTGGCTTCTTGGTGGGAGTTCAGTGGATGTTGCTGTAACAGCCCAGGCTATCAGGCTGGTGCAGCAGCTTTTCCTACCCAGGGATATTAAAACTGACTCTTGAAGGAGCACATTGTGAGTCCTGATGCTTTTTGGGCACCATTCTTTGGTCTATGTTATGGCATTTAGGTGAGGATCCTCCCAGTTTTGGGATGCTGACAAAATATCCCCGGCAGCTCTGACATCCCTCCTCAGAGGAAACGTTTAGCCAGTGTTTCCTGGGGATACACTAGCAGGAATTACAATTATTTTGCCTTCCTCTAGAGGGTAACAGATGGCTACAGAAGTGGCATGTTTTCTCCTGATGTCAGTAGATGCAGCTCTGGAAATGCACTGGGTGTAGGTGTGCTGATAGGAAATGATCCTATCTAACAGCTGAAGAGGATAACCAGTCCATAAATTAAACTGCAAAGCATCTGTCTCCACTCTAAATGAGCTAAAAGTGCTCTTCTATTTGTTGGCAAAATGGGAAAACATTGCAAAAACATGGTTTCCTTACCAAAAAAAGTGGCAGCTTCAGAGGCACTTAAACTGAACTGAGACTCCAGGAATTTGGGTCCAAACGTGGACATCCCAGCAATCAGGGTTGCCTCGGTTGCTCCTGCTAAGCAGAGGAAGATGAAGGTGGGGTTCTTCAGAAGTAGCAGCACTGACCTGGGAAGGACCAAAAGATTGGAATTGAATCACTGATTTCAGGCACATTTTGATTTCAGGCCTTCTAAGTCAGAAGGATCACATGTAAGACAAGGCAGCATCCCATCATCCTGCAACTCTTTGACAGGAAAAACACCAAAAGGAAGCTAATTAGGGATTGGAAGAGCTTTTCCAGTCAGTGACACAAACAATGTATGTGTGTGAATCACTCACAGTAAGGGCACCCACGACTTCTACACGGATGATTTCAGCAGTAATTTTCCAACATTTAGGGTCAGGCTGAGTACTTCCTCTTTTTAAACAGGGCAATACAGAAAGGACATTGACCTCCATCATTTCAAGGTTTTATTAGTGCCTGTTGGCAAATTATCTTGGGACTCCTGGCTCAACCAAGAGCAACTTGTGTTACATCCTCACAAACACACATTACTTGTGCACCCACACTCTCAGAACAATAACAACCTCTGAAAACCAGGGATGTTTTGTAACTCAGGGGAAATACCAAGCAAACCTTTCTGTATGGAGGAAACACCTCCAAGACACCTGAGAAACAGAAAGCAATCTTTCTGCCACAATCTAAGCCCAGTTTTACTTGAAGCTTAACGTATAAATTGAGTAATTCCATTTTACTTCGACCCACTGGGATTCAGGAGACAGCTGCAGATACGACTGAAAAATTGCCATGTGTCATTTACATGCAGATCCAGCAACAATTCCATCCCTGAGATGCAGAAAGGCCCTCGGGCACAGGGAATGGTCTCAATTATCTCTCACTATCTCGGATATTGGACTAAGAGGGCTGACATTGCTTTGCAGAGGATGTTTTGTAACAAGCTTCAAATGCTGCCCCACGACTTCGCCAGCCAAGCCTAGACCAGTGCCATGGGTGATTCCATTTCTGGGATGGGCACAAATCATGCAAGGGTGATGCCATGGGGTGGCCACTGAGCAGGAGGGCACTGTCACCACCTCCTGCTCTGGAGGAGATGTGAGATCAGAGAAAACCTGCCTTGGTACAAGCAAGGGAGAGATGTGCTGAGGCTCAGAGTCAGTTTTATGCAACTTTACTCACATGGAGAATTTCACTACATCAAAAGAACAAAGAAGCTGAAAGACAGAAATACCACACATTCCTACATTTTGATTACAGAGGGCTTTACACTGCCTAACTCTTGGGATTAGTTTAATGTACTATTTTATTTTCGAGACCTTTTGGACTGTGCTTAATTTGGAAGCATAAAGCCTAACATTTTAGTGAGAAAACTCTCGTAGATCTTGGGGCTGAGGCAGAAAATGGACAGTGCCTTCACCTTTTTATGGAGAAGAGTTGCTCACTGGCACTAGTGTGACTTTGTGCCCTCTGCCCAAAAGATACAGCCTGGACTTGCCAGTAGGAAAATGCAAGGGAACTCCTTTCAGCACTAAGAATAAGGATTTACTCAATTTAATCTGTCTGAAGACATAAGATGTAGTTGTGAGGAGCTATGGCATACAAAACCTTACCAAAGACAACACAAACCTTTTTATTACATCAGTAGGACTTTAAACACAGCCAGAAATCACCTAACTCTTGATTAGTCTTGGCAGTGCTCAGTTCTTGCAGCCAAAGAGACTTCAGCAGGTCCAGCACTGCACAGAGAAGAATCCCACCACCTAAAAAAGCTGATCCTCCAAGGCTTTACTGATATGGGCACATACAGGAACTCTTTCTCACATAATGGTCCTCTGAGTAGGTTGGGACCACCTGCCTGATCAGAGCCTGCTCCTCTGAGAAACACTGGCATGCCCAGGACACCCCTGACTGTACCAGAGTAGAGACACAAGATAATGAGACATTAATAAATGGATATTTCTACAATTTTACAGCATGGGAATGGGGGCTTTTCCAGCACAAAACCACACCCACTGTCACCAGCACCAAGGGAACAGAGGGCACCACGTGCATCCCACAGGAACATAAACCAACCTCCCTTTGAAATGTGGGGAAGCTGCAGAAAAACCATGAAATGAAACGAATCCAGGAGTGGTCAGTGAAATACTGACCACAGCTCGCCAGGCCAGGGAGTGATCCTCACAAACTCCACGCTGCAGCTTGCAGGGACAGAACCTCCTCTTGGTACAGCTCTACACACCCTCCCTTTGAGTCCCTCTGCTCTGGCAGGAGGGGTTACTCCAAGAGAGCAATCATATGGAAGCAGAGAAAGGAAAATGCTATTTTAGCAGGCCTTTTCAACCCAAGAGTTAAGACAGAAGTGTCTCCAGGGCAGAGGATTAGGCTGTATGGGCTGCATTCCTGTAAGCTCCTGCTGCTCTCAGGCAGCGCTGTGAATGCAGCAATTCATTAACAACACTAAGAAAGGACCTGATGGCACGGAACAGTATTTTATTTCATCAGCATTTCTGCTTATCTTTGTGAGACTGTTACTGCCCACACTGTGAGAAAATGTGTGGCACACGATCCCTGGCTAGCACAAAAGGAACAGTGAGTGTCCTTTGGCCTCACTCTCCAGCCTGGTACACGTGTCCTCAGGAGCTGCCTGCACAGATGGGATCTCCTCTTTAATGCAAGTTTCCAGAGCAGAAAGCCTTGAAGGCACTTCCCTTTTATTAATCAAAACCAGGAACCACAAGAGTCTGCTTGGTTCCTGCTTTCAAACCACACTGAGGTCTGGATTGGTCTGAATTGTCTGATACAAGTTCCCACCTTTGGGTATTTGTCATTCAGGAACGAGGTGTGCAAGATGCTCCTGGAGGAGGATTGTCTCTGTTCCTGCTGCCAGACAGCAGAAACAGTGGGAGCTTTGTTCCAGACAAACAAGAAAAGCATCAACCACTGAATTTCATCCCTCTCTGCTGCCCTGTTTGTGCTGGTTTTAGTCACAGCCTTATCGTTATTTAAATGCAGGTTTTGAATTCAATTTCCGTGAGGAGAACAAGCCATGACCTCGGAAAATGGCACCCAGTCAAGAATGCCATTTAATAACAGCATTGAAATCTGTTCAATGTAATATTCTTCATAAAACTGTCTTAACCCCTGGTAAACTTCCTAGGAAGCCTTCAAGAATTTCAGATGGGTGTGAGTCGTTGTGTTGACACAACACAGCTCAACTGGTGCTGAAAATTCCTGTTCTGAGCACCTGCTTCCATCCTCCCCTGCCAGCACAACAAAGACCACAAATAAAGCTCAGAAGTGATTGCTAGCAGCAATTGAGGTTTAGCAACACCATTTGCCTTTGCAGGGAGCAGCCACCACACATGGATAAAATCTCCTCCCTAAAAATGGTCCTGGGAGAAATAATAAAAAAAGAAAAAAGGAAGATCCCCTTATTGACTTCAACCTCAAAAAGGAATCAATATCCAGGTATTTCCACAACATCCAGAGCCTCCATGCCAGCTAACCCCAAGCAATAAATAAAGCAGCACCTCTCCCCCTGCCCTCCATTCAAATACAACTCAACACAACAACAAAAAAATCATAAAATATTTTAAAAATCCCTAACAAAAATCTGTGGTTGAAAGATCACATTTCATTTTTGCCCCTGCTTTGTTCCCACCACAGAGCTGAGCAGCAGCTCAGGATTAAGCAAGTTGCTGTGTCACTGACTTGCTGGAGAGATAAGAAGTAGTGAAACATAAAAGGTGGCTGGAAGATGTGAAGGCAAAAGAAAAAAAAGGAAGCCAAGAATAAAAGAGTGAGGGAACTGAAAGTTAAAGTGTGCTGTATCTTGTTCCCTGGCTTTGGAATGGAGCTGTGAGAATCACAGGGCCTGTTTAATCTCGTTTCTCATTAAAAATGACAACACAGGGATCTAAGACAAGTAAAAATAGAGGAAAGAAATAGAGCCGCGAGGGGCTGGGGAGCAGGAGCTGTTGGAAACACACAATTGGGCCAGGTGAGGCCAGGCAGAAGCAGGCAGGCAGAAATAATGCTGCTGGGGAGAGGGAGGGAGCTGGCAATGCCTGGGCATCTCCCATCACCTAAAGCTTGGCATCAACCCACTCTCAGCGAAACTCAGTGTGTGGCACAGCACTGCAGGTGGACATGAGCTTCAGAAAACCCAGATGGGACTGGCTACTTGTGCCCTGCTGCCCCATGGGCTCCCCAGAACCAGCTCTGTTCAGCCTCTTTGCCAAGAGCTCCCCGACCGTGACAGCACCGGGTACCTTGACACCTTCTCTGCCAAGAAAGTCTCATTGATTGAGGAAGGGCAAAACCTTTGAGCTGCTCATTCCTCTCCCCTCTGCAGAGGGCTCCCTAATCTCTGTGTGGGGTGCTTTTCTCACCGAGGCAGATCTTTCACTGTTTTCCCAAAATCCGGATCCGATGCTTTTTTGTGGCTCCCATCCTTTAGCTGATGAGCCTCTGACACCCTCATAACGATGTAGCGCTGGGATCCTGAAAATGAGAGGCAAAGGGAACGAGGAGCCTGTCAGACACGGGATGGGGATGCTCCTGAAGCCGTGGATTTGCAGGGGGAAAACTCAACGTGACATCCTCCTTCCACCAACAGCTGCGAGGGAGGAGCAGTGACACAGGCAGATGGAAAGCCAAAGGGGTGAAATCCATTTAGGAATTACAACTTAAAAACACAGGAAGCTCTTCCTTTGCTCCACACGTGCATGAGGATGGAAGCCCCGGGGCAAGCGGGAGCACGGCGCAGCCCCAGCCCCGAGTCCCGAGCGGAGCAGCTCCGTACCTGGGAGGCGCTGGGGGTAGCCCAGGATGGGGATGGAGATGAGCAGGGAGGCGGCTCCAGCCCCCAGGAATCCGATCCACCAGGCCCCCACCCACAGCGTGTTCTCGGGGGCGATGTCGATCCTGCAAGGAGCGAAGCCAAAGGGACACAAGGGAGAGAGGCGGAGGTTGGAGACGGAGCGGGGCAGCTCCGTGTGCCTCTGCCTGAGGCTGGCAGGGGACAGGGGGGCCATGGGGGGTGACAGTGGAGGAAACTGAGTGATCTGATGGATGCCACGTCCTCCATCCTTCCTGCCACAGCACAGCACTGCCTCACCGGAGCACAACACAAGCCCACGAAATCACAGCACTTCATTCCCATTTAATCTCAGGTTTGCACATTCACCTCACTCCTTTTCAGCCGTGCTTTGAGGGTTTCCAAGATCCTTGCTCCACCCCAAAAACACCCTTTGCAAGAAAAGTGGAGGAAATAACCAATTTCTTCCCCTGGAAAGCCATTCCCCCTTTTTAATCTATTCATATGGTCTAGTAAATGGTGTCCCTGCCTATGGCAGAGGGGTTGGAACTAGATGATCATTAAGGTCCCTTCTAACCCAAAGCACTCTGTGATTCTATAGTCTACCAAAGAGCGCATAAAGAAACAAGAATGAATTACAAATATTACAAAGCATCCTGGTGGGATGGCTGGGAGGGCAAGCAGCACTGCTGGGAGCACTACTTCATCAGGGAACTCATTCAAAAAATTCACCTGCTGCTCACAGCCTCATTAGCACAGGCAGTGCAGCGTGAGGAGGGATTTAAGCTGACAGGTTTGTCAGCAATTTCCCTCCAGCAGCAGCAGTAATGCAAACCACCCTCCCAGCCTCCCCCTCCTGCAGACACACCACCCAACACCCCAGGCACAGTTCCACCCAGCCACCAGCTCATTGCTCCAGATCATTGTTATTATTTTTTCTACCCCAAAGGAAACACAGAGCAGAAAGGAAAAGGAACAAGATTTTTTTTTAACGACTTACTCTCTGCCAATTTCAGTATAAATATTTAGAAACATTCCTCCTACCAGATAACCCGCTGCAGGCCCAAGGATTGCAGCAGTGTAGAAAACAGCTGAAAGGGAAAACAAGTCGTGTCAGACAACCAGCAACACGTCAGCCAGGGATCCCCAGCCCGGTTCCCTCCTGGATGCAGGATAATCAGCCTCTGGCTGCCTCACATCCTCCCCCTAAACCACCAAGACACAAACCCAGATCCTTCCAAAGAATTTTCCTCTCATGCTTCTGTTCTAGGGAAGCTTTTGCTTCCAGCCTGGAAAGTTTTATAGTATGGGGCAGGCAAAATTGGTTCAGAAATAAATCATATCTAGCAGTGATGCAGCTGATCCCACTGCCACATCCTGAGCCACAGCAAGGAGCAGCAGGATTCCCTCCCCACTGACAACACGACTGTCTACACCAAACACAGCACCACTGGCACTTATTTCAGTTTGCTGTTTAAACCATTAACTTGCTGATGATCTCTTGTGATCTCCTTCCCTCACTACACAGCCTTCTGATACAGCCTGGACAGACTGATACATTTTCAAATTACTGAAAGATCACCCTTTGGGCACTTTCACCAAGAGGACTGTGAGCGTCTGGCAGCTGCTGGGTGACCAGGGACACGGAGGAGCGAGCTGAGCCTCTTCTCTTGGCTGTGCTTTGCAGCAGCAGCAGCTCAGCAGCCCAGTGACCACCCCTGCTGTGCTGAGGCCTGAAGAGATGATGATCTAAAGATTTAGGTTAAATGATGGTGACGGAACACTGGCACAGGCTGCCCAAACAGGTGGTGGATGTTCCATCCCTTGAAACATTCAAGGTCGGATTGGATGGGTCTCTGAGCTACCTGATCGAGTTGCAAGTGTCCCTTCTCATTGGACTAGATGACCTTTAAAGGTCCTTTTGCACCCAAATCATGCTGTGATCCTATGCCCCCTTGCAGGGATGGGGGTATGGCCTCATGGCTGTCTGCCAGTGATGCTAATGGGCTGGTGCTGTGCCAGGAGCAGGAGGCACTCCCCATCTACACCCAACTCACAGAGCTCACACTTTTCCTCCTGGTAAATAATCAAAACAGCTATTAAAAAAAAAAATAAAAATAAATCCACAGCTGCCCGATTTCCACCTCTCCCTTCAAAAGGAACAAAAGGCTGAGCAGTGTCGGGAGAGGCGCTCCCAGTGTGGGCTGGCCAAGGCAAAGGGACCATCACCTCTCCCTGTGCCACCACCCTGCAGCTGTCCCTTCAGCCCCACTCACCAATGTACACAGGGGAGTAGTTGGTCTTGACGTTCTCATCTAAGTAGGTGACACCGAGCGTGTAGAGCGGCGTGGCTCCCATCCCGTGCAGGAACTGCCCCAGCATGAAGACAAACCTGTAGCCGGAGAGGCTGGAGGCAGCCTGGGAGCAGGGCAGGCTCTGGTTGCCCCCACAGACGCCCACAAGGGCAGCTGAGCGTGCCTCGTACTGCCCCGTGGTGAAGTGGGGCAGGGCGAAGAGCAGGGAGCCCAGGCCCATGAGCAGCACCCCCCAGCCCAGCCAGCGGGGCTTGTGGCCGTTCCCCCCGAAGTAGCTGACGAAGGTCAGGCAGATGCAGGCCGCGATGTCGTAGGAGCTGGCGATCAGCCCGCTCTGGTAACTGCGCAGGTCGAAGCGGCGCTCGATGGAGGTGATGACGGTGTTGATGAAGCCGTTCACCGTCATGCCCTGCAGGAAAGAGGCCACGCAGAGGAAGAACAAGACCCCTTTGGACGTGTTGCAGAGCTGCAAGCAGCCGGGGGTGAAGCCCCCCCAGCCGCAGGCCAGTTCCTCTCCTTCGGCAGACACGTATTTAATCCCTTCTTCCAGCGGCGTCTCCTCCTCGGCCGGGGCGGGCGAGCAGAGGGGCTCGGAGCAGGATTCGGAGGGGCTGGCAGCCCCCGAGGAGGCGATGCCATTGCTCAGGGCCGTGCTGTGGCCATCCCTGGCAGCAGCTGCAGCCAGCGGCCGGCCCGCCTCGCCAGGGCCGGGGCACGGGCAGGAGAAGTCGAGGGGCTGAGCGAAACAAAAGCCATTTTCTCTGGTGGAGTTCTGGGGCATTGCCATGAAGGGGAATGCGGAGTCCAGCGGTAGATTGAGGGGGGCTGGTGGCCAGGGTGGCTCTGTGGGGCAGCGAGGACCAGCCCGTCCAGGAGATGCAATTTTCAGCACTTACTTCAGTAGGGAGATGGTGAAGGTCTGAGCCAAGACCATTCTGATCTGTGCAAAGAGAATTTTTACATGCCTTTATATAAAACCATGCTCAAACCCCTCAAATATTCTTTCTTTTTTTTTATTTTTTGTAAACAAGTATAAGCATTTCACTGTGCAGTTCACCTGGTCATGTGCCTTCCACCCTGGGATGTGTTGGTACTTCAGGTGTCAGGGCATCACTAACATTACAGAAAAGAAATTCAAGAGCCTTAAAAGAAAAGCACCTCAAAGGCAGTGTCCTCACTGACTGAAGCCCCTTATCCCTCCTCTGATACAAACCTGGTGACACCCCCACCACCTCCATCCCCCCTTCTTCCCCCGGCAGAGAACAGCCCACACAGCTACAAGTTTCCCACTGCTAGAAGTCCTTTGGTCTCTCTTTCTGCCAGTAACAGTTTATAATTATCCTGAAAAGTTTCCACAGTCAGATTGATTTTATTCCAAGCCCTCAGATCTGTTTACAACTATTCAGTAAAATCCTTTCTATAACTAATTAGACTACATGCCATTTCAGAGCAGGCTGGAGGGCAGAGGCAGCTGACTCTAACCTGATTACTGATGCAGACTGCCTTCTTTCACCCTGTTCCTGTGCATTGCAGCACCTGACCGTGCCAGGAACCAAGAGTATTTTTCCTTAAATGCCTTGGCTGAACTATAAATGATGAAAATAATAAGGTTCTCCCTTGAATACTGGTCTTAAATATGCAACAAATGCTAGGCGAGCACTCTTTTATTAGAAAGCATCTTGTATTTCTCAATAATTTTGCCAATATCTGTTTGAGAGGTTCCCACAAAAAAGGTTCCCCCTGAGATGACAGCCTCATCAGCATGGAAGAGGGAAAAAGGGAATTTTTTTTCCCTGATAAAATGAACTATGTTCAGATGGCTGTAACCTGGGAATATTGCACCCTTTGGTAAAGACTTTAATATTTATCTGTGTGTTGCTGTAAAAAAAATATTGACATTTGTTAAACAGATGTGATTCTCCACACCGGCAGGTCTTGCAGGCACTGAGGCAGGACTGAGCAGAAGGTGCTGCTCCCACCCCAGAAGGGCAGAGGACATCCCACGTGTGCTACCAAATCCTAAACATTCATGTCAGTACTGCTACAACACGTCTGGTCCTCAAAGTAGGTTAAACAAATGAGGTCCAACTTTCATTTGCAAATGATTTTATCTTAATTACCCTGTCTGGGGAGCAGAGTGCATGGACTATTTCCTATTTCAAGGTCCAGATTCCAGCAGGGATTTGATGACAGTGCAGGGCAGGTGAGCATGGTGGGCAGGAGGGCACTGCTTTGCAGCTCCACGCTGGACTCCTCCAGGTAACTCCTACCTTAGCTGGCCAAGTACAGCCAGGTAACTTCGATGTGTAAAGTGTAAATGCAAAAACTGACTGCAGGGGTTGAAATTTTGCTGCAGAGACAGACTGTTGTAATGTGCTGGCACAAAAAAAAATTATGCCTTGGTGCAAGGCTCTATTTTTTCCACTTTTTTTGCCTCTCCAGTGTTCTTATGACTCTTACAGCTCTAAATCTGCTTCTCATCTTTGGATGCAATATTGGAAGCAATAAATAAGCCTGCTTTAGCACTCTGTTAAAGTCAGAAGTGATTATTAGGCTCTGAATCAGGCTCTAAGGGGCGAAATGGTTCATACTCATGTAAATCAAACGCCTCCTTGCACAGCAGCCAGGACTGCAGCTGCACCCTCCTCCTATCAAACTTGTATCAGACTCATGTCTGATGTTACACTTGACTGCACTTGTAAAGAAGGTTTCTTGGCTGGGGATTGATTTTGCTCTCACTGATTTCAGCAGACAAAAAAAGCACATCTCTGTTCTTACCTGATATGCAAGCAGGAGCCGTGAGCTCCCAAACTTTCACCCTGGAGGAAAGACTCCCTTAAACACTGGGATCTCTCCTCTGATACCTCATGAATTTATATTGATATTCTGGTATTTCGTAAGTCAGGAAAGAGATTACAGCTCTTCATCAAAGCTTTTATTTCCCTGGTAGCAGCAGTCTGAGCCACTGGACCCAGGTGACCACATCATCCCCCCTCCAACTCCTGCCACTGTCAGTGCGAGTTAACAGCAAACAGGGTGAAACATTTCCAAGAAAGCAGCCAGCCTTTCCTCCAGGCAGCAGATGTTTCCCCCCACCCAGAAGGCTTCTCAGCCCCAACATCCCCCTCCTGTACACATCCCAGTGGACCTGGGCTAATGACTCGTGCCCAGGTGCCGTGGGCAGGGAGCCCACTCCTGCTCTGCGCTGTCCCCCGAGCTGCTTGGCATCTCTTGAAGTATTTATAAACTGCCTGAGACACATTCACTGTGGGTATCAGCTTTCATGGGAGCCATATGCCACTTTAGAGGACAAAATATAATCTTCAAGGGAAAAAAAAACCCAAGCAACTTCATGCACTTCCTAATCATTCATATTCTTCCGAGCCATCCATTTATTGCCTCCCATTCATCTCTGTTTTTAATGACTCAGCGGGTGATTTCTTGCTTACACTGAATCAGACCCAATGCTATTATCTCTCTGCCATAGATTTCCTCATTTTGCTGCAAGATTTCTGCTTTTTTTTTTCCACTGTACAGCTGGTTCCAGAGTGCCAACATTATCGAGTCAACACAGCAGAAGCAGCAAGGCAATGAAAGCGTATGATTTGTATTTCCTGATGAAATCTGTAAAGACTTCCCCCCCATAATATTTAGCATTAAGTCAATAGTAAAACTTACAAGTTTTTCATCAGGTGATCATTTAAAAAGTCACAGGACCAATTAAAAACATTTTGTATTTCTGCCAAGGATTGTGATGAGATTAATGTTGCAAATTAACTCATAACTGACATGCAAAATAATCCCATTTGCTGAAACATGGCCAATAATAGTTAATCTTCCCTTCCACATTATGGTTTTTGACTTTTATATGGTATTATTGTGGCAAATAACATCTATATATAATTTCTGCTTTCCACAGCTGAGTACAGTTTATGAGTAGACTTAGCATTTTTTCAGTTCTATTGCATACATGGAGATATTTCCTAATGAACAGGGGTAAGGGATTAAAAATGACCAGGAAGTGTGCTGCAAACAGAAGAGGAGCAGCCCCAGGCGATGCTTCTGTAGCTGTGATGGGTCTCCTTTATTTTCCTCTGGGCTTCCTCTATTTTTATTTTCCTCAATATGTGAGTGATCCTGGACTTACTGACCAAGTACCTAGAATCTGGGAAAGTCCACATCCAAGTACCGAGCTCATATTACTGCAGCAAGGGATAAATTCATCTGGGTTTGTCCATTTAACTTCTCTTGATAACACACACTGAATTTTCCTTGGAGAGTTTGGCTTCAGAGGATTAGCAGCACTCCTTCTGTCATGGCTGATAAACACCATATGGATCAAGTGTAATCCACTGGCTGCCTTAGGAGTGGGGAAGCCTCCCAGAAGTGAGATAAATCCACATCCCAGTCCTGTGAACAGGGCTTGTCCTTAGGGCACTGCTTCAGTGCAAGGCAGATAAAAGCAAGTATGGGATGAGTGAGTTGTTCTGAGTAACACTGAACTGTTTTCCCGGCAGCAGAGGAACTTCACCCAGCTCACACCAAGTGTAAACCTGACATTTTTAGCCCACTTTTAAAAAGCATCCCTTTGGATCAGCAATAAAGAGGATGCTGCTATTGTGGGATTGGCACCAGGACCAGACTGGAGCCTTTGGTAAGCAATTCCTGTGGGAACAGCATGGTCCTGCACACATGGAAAAGTTCAGGAGTGAGAAACACACCCAGAGAGCAACCAGATGACTGTGTGCTGAATGATGTGCTCAGCAGCAGTGCTGCAGGTACAGACAGAGGATGAGGGGGGATGTCCTAGGAATGGGGGACAATAGGAATATCTTGAGCCACCCCTCATGTCAGAGACCTGCTTTTACATGATTAGCCCTACTGGAATCTGAAGCATGGAAGAGAGCAGCAGAAACTGGCTTTGAATTATCACATGAGCAAGGGCATATTTATAATTACATAAATTCCAAATAGTAGAGCTTAGCAGTCACAAACCCTGTGTATGTTTTCCAAGTGCTTTCCATTTGTTGGGAAATTATTGCAATAATATGCAAGAAATCAGGAAGGTGGCTTGGATAATTTTCAATTAGCTGCTTGCAAATGCTTTGAAGATAAATTTAGCCAGATTTTCTGAGTCTATTTACTTGTTCCAGCTTATCTGTGCAAATACAATTGGCTGCAGCTGCCTCAGACCATCTTTAAAAACTTGCAGTGCCAACGTACGGAGCAGATTTAACCTGGGCACTGCTTTTTGCCATAGCACAGATTAACCAGACAAAAGAGTCTTTTGTGCCATAATTCCTAACTCACTCTCCCTAATGTCACTCTTGCTTTAATGTCTTTTTCCTGCCCATACATTTGGCCATTGCTGGGAAGGTTTCCATGCTGGCACAGCACTGTGCTCTCCATCCCTGTCAGTGCCCATGGAGCTGGGTGTTTCCAGATACACCACCAGCATTTTCCCAGCCCCTAGCCCTGCATGGTGTTATTTTCCACCATTTGGATTCTTACAACCCATTAAAGAATGTTCTGTATTCAGCACACTCTTTCTGCATGAGCTGCTGGTCAGCTCTTCCCAAGGATTACCAGTTAGTTCCTACAGCTGTCTCCTCTTTGTTTCCAAGCAGAAGATGCAGACTCAGGCAAATCCTTTATGATGTAAGAAATTAAACAAAATGAGCAAAACCCAAATAAAGAATGTGAGACATGTGATTCTCTGGTGTTTCTAAAGATAGAAGCACTAAAATGCAAAAAATGCAACATCCTGTGTTACACAACCCGAGGATG